TATGTAAAAATAATAAGTGCTAAGTGCTGCATAAAATGCAACAATTACAGTTATTGTCCAGCATACTTTCAATGTCTAATTTGCGAATCATGTTCTTGAATATCGCAAGGCTGGATGAGCTTTTAATATCGCTATGCAACTTTAAGCATAGTACTGAGCCAAAGTAACGTAGCGAATAGGTGACTTGTTAATTTAGCTGAGCATGGAATAAGATTACACAGTCGCATTAGAACCCCGAACGCAGTATCACAAGGTGGTTCAGTGCAGCAGTTCACATCGTTACCCGAAGAACTGAATTCTCGTTTCCGAATACCACGAACTAAGAATGTGTTTGTACCAAATAATGCGTCTGTGTATAAATAATGTGTGTATGATTCGGTGATTCGTATAGGTAATCATGCGATGGCGAGTACAATTAGGGATTAATAGTACGAGTGATGTTTGGAAATTTTGCCAAAATTGGACGAGTCGCCGGGGCTAGTCCAATTTGGCAAATTTCCAAACATCACGAATACTATTAATCCCTAATTGTACGAGCAACATCGCATGATTACTTGTTTATTATTAGCATGACAAAATTGGATACTTATCAATGTCAACATCATATTCTCTCGCCAAAGTCCAGTCCTGCCAGACTTTCAACCAAAATTTGGTGCTTTTGTTCATATGTTCATTTAGTCCTTTTGTTGAAGCAAAATGTGGTACCGGCTTTTGTTCGTATTTTCATCTAGTTCCTCTAGGGCAATTTCAGTTCACGTTTGTGTGTTAAAATACCTTTCCGCCATTTTGTTTGTTTTGGGAAAATCATTAATTGTACTGCAGTACAATTAATGAAATAATTGTACTCCTCTCAACCAATCAGCATCCAGTAATTTTGTCATGCTAATAATAATTATTGTTAAAACACTCAAACTTTTATTTGTATTTACTTCCGTTTCCTCATCTTTTAGTTATATCGGTTTATCTTTTGGTTGTATCGGTTTATCTTTTACTGAGTTGTATCGGTTTATGACATTGATGTATTTGCACATAACATCAATGTATAGAACATAACATCAATTTATAGCGCATAAACTCGATTGATACATTGCAGATATTTTCTTCATACCATGCAAAGATGCAAAGTATTTATGTTTATATTAATAATAGTTTGCTAAATTTCAGGGTTGTGATCTCAAATTGATGCTTTCTGAAGCTCAAGCTGCAAGTCATAAACAAATTGTTACATTTCAACAGGTATATGTATGAGCCAATATTAGGCTGCGTTCAGACTGAGTGCCCGGCACTGGTGCCCAACGTTCAAAATGGTTCACAAAACATGTTGAGCACTGTGCCGTTGTTGAGTACTGCCTCTAGAGGTAGTGCCCATTCTTGGGCACTGTGCCCAATTTCATTTGGAAGCATCATGTTCAAACTAGGTTCAGGCCTTAAAATATCGGTCGGTCACGGACATTGTCCGACCCATTCGTGAAATTGTCCGACGTAGAGAGGAAACCACCGGACATTCTGTCCGACCAAATTGAAACTGAGGTTTATTGTTTGTCCGACCCGAGTGTATTGGTGTCCGACCTGAGTGTATTGGTGTCCAACCGAACTGTAGCTTTGTCCGCCGTAAATCAAAATGTACTGGCTAGCCCAGGACTAGAGGCTTGTATGTTAAATGGAAAATCAGAGTACTATTGTATAAAAGGTGAACTGGAAATGTTGTTTTAACGTAGTCGAGCGCGGGCGGCGAGCGAAATGGTGAAGTGGAAAACGGGCTTAAGTTGTCGAAGTCTTTTTTAATACTGCTGTGCTGGCAAGCAAGTTAATTTTGGCTTGGAAATAAGTATGAAAGAAACAAATTATTTAATATCTTTACAACATTTACCGTTTAGTCATTTGTGTCATTCAGACTTATTTCCGAGTCAAAACTGAACTGAAGGTCATTGGACATATGTCCGACCCAAACTCAACGTCACCGGACATTTTGTCAGACGGCCCTGTAAAACATATTTTAAGGCCTGGGTACCAAAACAAGTGACGGGCACCCAGTCTCGATGCAGCCTAATACTCACAGCTGCTCCTGGTTAGATCTAACAGTGTATAAAATTTACACTCGAAATTTCCGCCTACAAAAACCCGTCGACCTAATATTTCTACACATTAGAGTGGGCTATACTGCATGTAAGTTGTAGGACAAGTTTCACCCGGACGACAGAGGACGACGTGGCTTGGCGTGCATAATAATACTGGGTTTTAATAGTATACAATAAGATAACTTAATTGTCATGTATTTACATAGGTACTACTATACTAATCTATTAAAATGTTATTTAAAACTATATCTATTTACATCTAGTAAGAGCATTATATATTATTATTGTATTTATCAATAGCATAGACTAGTGGACTGTTCTTAAAACGATCAGTTCTACTTTTAAAGTTATAAAATTTGTTTCTATTGGATGTAGTTTCCCTATTTCTAATGTTTCCCACTTTCACAGGTAATCCCCGAGCCGACGGCGCGAAGCGCCGTGCGAAGGTACTAATTCCCCCCGGCTATTTACACCCGGGGAAACGAAAGCATTAGCGGAGTCTAAAGTTCATCAAATATCGCGGGCGTGGGTGACCAACGATGG